CCCATAAACCAAACTAGAGGAACTCGTTTGGGGATACCACCCAACCCGACAGTTAGTATTCTACTGTTTGGTTTTCTGGAATTGTACCTTAAGCGAAGGCTAGTTTAAGAGTTGGTAAATCAATCGGAATATATGTACCTTACACTAATGACCTAGCTTAAGAGTTGGATAGAAGTACCTTGAACTAGAATTAGTTTAAGAGTTTGTAAACATAAAAAAAATGGCCTTAGACTAAGCATAGTTTAAGGATATTGTGGAATATTGAATATTGAACATGAATGTTGAATATTGAGATATTGAAATAAAAATATTGAGAATATCATGAATGAATATTGAGATATTGAAATAAAAATATTGTGCATGATATCAAATGGTTGTTTGTGAATTGAGATTCAATTTATGTGGATGTTCGACGCTTTAGATATGCTTACTCAGCTTCATCGCTGAGCGTGTAGTATGTTTTATTTGCTACACGCAGGTAGACAAAATGAATGATTGGCATTGTAACACCCCAATCCGTATAACCCGGAATTACACGAATTAAGGTGAAACGAGGGTTAATTAAAAATTTCACTTGACATTTGAAAATGACAATCACTTATAAATATTAAATTTACAGACTCTGGATCGCGACCCGTTTAAAAATATTTTCAGAGTAATGCGGAAGTACAATAATAATTAAATCATGACACATTTAAATTCTTTGATGATCAAACATTTGCCTGCCATCCTTGCATCTCCTCTGACTCAATGCCCTCCGGGAGTGGTTTCGTCATTGTCCTCTTGTTACCTACGTGTAGTCAATGAAAAATACAAACTACACGCTCAGCGAAACCGCTGAGTGGTACCACGCTAGAATTGTAGAATAATTAACAGACATATACATATACATATATATACGTCCACAAGGTGTATAATAATATTCATGATATGGCACATTATATCATATGATCAATTTGATGATTCATGATGATAAATATTTAATGATAATTAAATGATGGCACATTTAATCAATTTGCTTGTTCGTGAGGATGATTACATGAACCTATGTAATAGATATAATTGTTCTTGATGATGATTACATGAAACCTATGTAATCAATATATTTGTTCTTGATGATGGTTACATGACACCTATGTAATCAATGTACTTGATGATGATAACATGATGCATGATTCTAAGTCAACAAGGACGACCCTTGCATTGTGAAATTCGCCCATTTGGTACGACGAACTCAGCGGCCTTAGTCTCACAAGGGAGACTAGAAAAAAATAGGGGTGGTACTCGAAAGCCTGAATACCATGTACGTACACTAAGCCCGGTCAGTGATGTTGGACTGCTAAGTCCCGCACAATCACACTATAAGAGACGCACTAGGCATGATCTCTTACGCATGCATATGATATGCTTCAAAATGGAATGATTAGAGGAATCATATGATATGAACAAATTGTAACAATATGAATATGTAATCATACATTAATTTATTTGGGTGAAATATGATAAAAATATCATTTAAATAAGCTACGGGGCTCGGAACGGTCGACCTTGATATTCATCAGGTTGGATTGGAGGATCACCGTGACGGTCGACCGTGGTTGACCGGCGGTCGACCGTTGTTGACTTGCTGGAACGGCGGCGTTCTGTTGGGCTAACGACGGTCGACCGTTCGCCGACGGCGGTCGACCGTTTTGCTGACAGTAGTGGTCCGTTTCGAAGTTTAATATGACGGTCGACCGTTTGTGTCAACCGTTTGGGTCTGCGAATCTTTCTCTTGATATTTTGAGTGTCTAAAATAATTCTTTAAGTCTTTTAAACACCTTTGATTAACCTATACATATTGTTGGGTTGATTTCCAAAGTTTATATTTACTTATGTGTATATTAACTTTATGGATTTGGTGTATTTTGATCTCAACATATAGATGACTTATATATGCATCACATATATATTTTGGGATGGTTTCAACATATGGATTAATATATATGTTCATGTACGTATGTGATGAATGATTCGACAAGTCTAACGTAAGGGTACAGACCTGGAAATTATCAGCCGAAACCTTACGGATGAGCGGGAGTGGAAACAACATCGAAATTCCCTAACTTTGTCATTCTCGTCACAATTGGACAGCCTGCCGTATTTTGGGCATATCTCCATCGTTTCTTCACGGAATTGCAAACCGTTTGATTTTGTGGACTCCTAATATGTAAGGCTATAACTTTTGTATAGAAAGTATATCGAGTTAACAGATGTAAGATAACGTAAATCGGACCTGAAGTCAAAGGATAGTTGCTGTCCAGGATTTCGGATATGTCGGTGAACCACGATTCCGACGATTAACTCATTAACTTCAATATTCCAACACCGGACCTTCTCTACAATACCTTCCGGATGTTCCTAATAATCGTTAGAAAGTTTATGGTGAGTGTTTGGAATGAAACAACATGGATATGGTGAGGAAACATAGCCAACCCGAGGAGCTCGCCACCACTGGCGCAGTCCCGGTATTTTGGCCATATCTCCTTCGTTACTTAACGAAATCGGGATCCGTTTGTTGGGCTGGATTCGTATCGTCCGGGGCTACAACTTTGGTTCAGAAATTATTTCGAGATAATGGATGGAAAATTTCAGTTTTTACCTCAAAGTGGACTGATGTGTTTTGGTTTCGGGATTTTGAGACTTTATGGTTTTCTTCTTACTTCTTCATCTTCCATGGACTAAATGATGAGTTCTTGCTGCTGTGTTCTTCTTGTTTGTGTGAGAAATCAGGGATGGAAGGAGATGATGGTGTGTGATGATGGTCAGTGGCGGATCCAGGATTGTGAATGACTGGGGGCAGTATAGCAAAGCGGGGGTTCAGGAGTAGAGCCCTCGATTTTTTTAAATGTACTTTATATCATGATGAAAAAATTAATTTTATATCAAACAAATTTAAAATAAGAAAAACAAAATATTTTAAAATTAGTAAAATTATACTCCCTCCGTCCCAATTTATAACGCCTGTTTCGATTTACGATGTTTGACTGAAATTATTTTCAAATCCTTTTATATGGCAAATGGTATAGAGTTAAAAAATAAAAATTACATATCAAAATACTACATCAAAAGATCTATAAAATTAGTAGTGACGATAGTACTTTATTTTATCAAATTGCTAATGAAAATAGAGAAAAAAAGTAAATGAAGTTTGACCTTGTAAATAGTGAACATGCACTATATATTGGGACGAAGGGAGTAATACTAAATGAATTATGTTGTACGAAATTATTTAATATCACTAGAGGTTACAAATACTTTATTTAATGGGTTAATTAGTGGTCACTGGGGGCATTCTTTGTTTTTTGTTGGGGGCAGCTATACATAAAACAAAAATAAGTAAAAAAACTTCTTTTTTTGACTGGGGGCAGTTGCCCCCATATGCTCCAAGGTAGATCCGCCCATGATGATGGTTGATGATGGGAGATGATGATGGTGGTGGTGGATTTGGTGGAGGATTATAATGAGAAAGGTTGTTGGATTATTGTGGTGTAGTGGGTGGCTAAAGATTGAGTAGGGGAGGTGGCCGAATCATGCTAGGAGATTTTAGGATATTCAGTTTGGTTTTTAGTCCAAACTGACTAGTTTACTCCAAACGGTACACGCTTTTTCTCCCAAACTGCTCCGAATTGAAAACGGATTGTATTTTTGGATTGAGATTGTCAAAACTAGAATTTTGACGTAATCAAAATATTTTTCTGAGAACTTTTATTTTTCTTAATGTCTGGGTCTGTCTCTATCATAAATTAATTTAATAATATAAATGATATAAAAATATATGAATTTAATCCAAATCATGAATATGATGTTGTCAAGTGTCAAAGATTAAGATTTCTAATCTTATGAAATCACTTTTGAATTGAGTTTAATTTATGGGTCAAAGTTACAAATTTTAATATTTAAAATCGTCATAGCTTGAATAATATAAATTAGATTGATTCATAAAATGTTCCGTTGGATTCGTCTCCTCGAGACATATTCATAAAAATAAGTTTTTAACAAAAAGTCCTTATTTTGAAAATCCATTTATTTTTGGTCAAACGTATAAATATTCCTTATTGGACAAAAAACTATTTTTGTTTAATAATAAATTCTAGGCCTTATTTTGTGGCGTTACAGACATGATCCTAGCAGCGGATGGGGCGAGACTGTCGTGGTGGAATTTGTGATTTTAAAATAAATAATTGTGTTGTTATTAAACATGGTTTAAATTGCTTCCGCGTTATTGTTAAATACTCCGTATTTTGCTACAGTTATGTATTAAATAATATTTATGATGAATAAAAGTATTTGAAATGTTTTAAATTTTACGATTACCAAGCTAATACTTTAGTCCGGAAGGGGCTGCAGACCTGGACGGATTAGGGTGTTACAATTTGGTATCGGAGCAAATGGTTTTAAAATCTATCTTCGGATCAAAAGTTTGTTTTAAAAAAATTTATATATATATGATATATATATATATATATATATATATATATATTTTCGGCCCTCAAAAAATGATGTCAATCAAATCCACGACTCTCGCATCCCTCTGCTCTAGGAAGGTAATAAAAAAAATTTGAGTATTGAAATTGACTATATTAAATTTTATAGATGTCAACTGTTAATTCGGAAATGATATCAAGTATTGATTCATGTCGCACTTTCGTACTTGGTAAAAGACGAAAGAACAAACGAAATGTATATGACTCGCTGATACGATATCAACGTGCCCATCGCTTTGCAAGAATAATGAAACGAAGGATTTATCTGCGCCGCAAGGCTGCATGGGAACGGGATGACCCAGAAGAGACGTTCAGCGTAGACTCTGCAAACAGCGTGTGCGGATCGGGCGCAGAAGACCCAGCTGTAGATTCGTCACGATCCAATCAATCGAACACAAACGTTTAGAAATTATCTTGTTGATCGTTTCAAATCCATTAATTGTACTGACTAATTTAATCCTTTACAATTCCTGTCTTAAACTCAACCACTGAATAAAAGAATCCTAATAAAGGAATTTCTGTTATTGTAGAATGAGTCAAGAATTTGCCCACGGACAAGGCAACAACAATGAACACGCCAGTGTTCATACTAAAGCATCTAGCTTCACCCCTCCCATCCAAAATGAACCCGTCAATCAACAAAATTTTGGAAATAACCCGAACGCTAGTGGTCAACCCGACCTTGTGATTCCAACTTTTTTGGCTAGTGTGTTACAACAGATAGCCAACGCGCCAATATTTCAACCACCTCCACCAGCGCCACCTTGAGTGATAACCTACAAAATGCTAAGGGATAACGACGCAGAATTATTCCTTGGGGATCGCATCGGTGAACCCCAAATTGCGTGGGACTGGATCGAGCAGACTGCTCGAGTGTTGGAGGATCTCAATGTACCCATGGACAACTATCCTCGACTGGCTTCTCAACTGCTGCGCAAGGAAGCCTACGAGTGGTGGAAGAGGACCGATGAGAGTGCGGGAACCCCTATGCCGTGGACATGGACACATTTCGAATGGGCATTCAAGCAAGAATATATTCCGAAATGTTTTAGCGAGGAAAGATGTAAGGAATTTGTTGAACTGAAACAGGGAAACATGACACTCCCTGAATACCGTCAGAAGTTCACCAAACTTGCAAAGTTTGCGCCAACCTTGGTGAGTACCCCAACCAATCGCATTGAGGAGTTCAGGACGAAACTTCGACCTGGCCTCAGGTCACGTGTGTCCGTCCTTACCACCATGGATTTCGCAGAGGCCTACGAGATCATAGCCAGGGCAGATAGTGACCTGAGGGCTTGCATAGAGTATCTTAAGGCAAACAATGCTGGCTCAAGCACTCACCGTCCCACTAGCTCTGCCTCAAAAGGAAAAAGGCCTTTCCAGGAATCTAGTAGTTCAAATTTCTCTAAAAAGGGAAAATCTATGCAAACTCAGTCGATGGCATCCGTTGATAAGTCTAGAAAGCGAAGGTATCCTGCTTGCGAACACCGTGGAAGGAATCACCCTGGAGAATGCTGGTTGAAACAAGGGTTGTGCCTTGGCTGTGGAAAACCAGGACACTTCCGAAAGGAGTGCCCTACAAACCTCGGAGAACCGTATCCACCTGCCCCTGTTGTCAGTCAAGCAGCATCAGCACGACCTGCACCAAGTCAACGCTCAACAGCGGGGTCTAATCCAGCCAAGAATCAGAACCAACAACAAGGACGAGCTCCTGCTCGTACATATGCGATGAAAGCACAAACTGAGGAAAACCCTGACGTCATTCAGGTTATGTTTTCCTTATTTGATACTGTCATGCATGTGTTTATAGACCCTGGGTCAACATTGTCTTATATCTGCGTACCTATGCCTGAAAAAGCCGATATAATGAAAGAAAGCTTAGAACAACCTATACTAGTGTCAAACCCATTAGGACATAGTATGAGGTTAGATCATGTGTACCAAGACTGTCCATTAATTGTTGAAGGACAACGATTCTCTGCAAATCTTGTTGAGTTACCGTACAAAGAATTCGACATCATCCTTGGAATGGATTGGCTCACAGAACATCAGGCGGTTATTGACTGCCGAAAACGGGTGGTACAACTGAAAACTGACAAGGGAAGATTCTTAGAAGTGAAGGAAAAGCCAAATCCTAAACCCACTCAGTTCATCTCGTACATACACGCTAGGCGTCTCATACGAAAGAAATGCGAGGCTATCTGTGTAATGTGCGTGACACATGAAAGGAAACTCCCGAATTGAAAAACATACCAACCGTCTATGAATTCCCTGATGTATTTCCCGACGAACTTCCTGGAATTCCATCTTCCAGGGAAGTAGAATTTTCTATTGATCTTGTTCCTGGAACAGGACCGATATCTGCAACTCCTTATCGCATGGCCCGTGCTGAAATGAAAGAGTTGAAGGCTCAACTACAAGAACTGCTCGATAAAGGATTCATACGTCCGAGTGTTTCCCCTTGGGGAGCACCCGTTCTGTTTGTCAAAAAGAAAGACGGCTCGATGAGACTCTGCATCGATTATTGTCAATTAAACAAAGTCACAATCAAAAATCGATATCCTTTACCTCGTATCGATGACTTATTTGATCATCTTAGAGGATCTACTGTATTCTCTAAGATTGACTTACGGTCAGGATACCATCAAATCCCTTTAAAGAAAGAGGACATCCCAAAGACTGCATTCCGTACTCGTTATGGTCATTATGAGTTCACGGTAATGCCCTTTGGTTTGACCAATGCTCCTGCAGTATTCATGGATCTCATGAATAGTGTATTCCGACCATATCTTGATCAATTCGACGACATTCTTGTATATTCGAAGAATCAAGAGGACCATGCAAAGCACCTGGAAATAGTACTCAGTGTACTACGAGAACACAAACTTTATGCAAAGTTATCCAAGTGTAAATTTTGACTTGATGAAGTCACATTCCTTGGTCATGTGATCTCGAAAGAAGGTGTTAAAGTGGACCCCAGCAAAATATCTGCCATCACTGAATGGAAAGTCCCGAGGAATATTCGTGAAGTGAGAAGTTTTCTAGGATTAGCTGGATACTATCGACGATTTGTTGAAGGCTTTTCCTCGATCGCAACTCCACTTAACAAACTTCTAAGAAAGGATGTGAAATTCGTATGGACCGACGCATGTCAACAAAGCTTTGAGAAACAAAAGAAATGTCTGACAGAAGCACCTGTAATGACACAACCAGTACCAGGTGTGGACTACACGATCTTTAGTGACGCATCTCATAATGGCTTGGGATGTGTGCTCATGCAAGACAGAAAAGTCGTGGCATATGCATCAAGACAGCTGAAGCCTCATGAATGTAACTATCCTACTCACAATCTTGAGTTAGCAGCAGTTGTATTTGCTCTGAAGATATGGCGTCATTATCTCTTTGGAGAGACGACATATATTCACACAGACCACAAAAGTCTGAAATACATGCTAACTCAAAAAGAATTAAACCTGAGACAGAGAAGATGGTTGGAATTGATCAAAGACTACGACTGTTACATCGACTATCACCCTGGTAAGGCTAACGTAGTTGCTGACGCACTAAGCCGAAAGATGATAGCCGAACTCCGAATCCAGCCTACTCTTGAGAACGAAATTCACGCTGCACAAAAACGTGACGACTACTGTTTGAAGACTTGTGAACTTGTCTCTAAGGGGGAAAGACAAGATTTTACTATGAATGATGGAATTTTATTCTACAGGAATCGTTTGGTAGTTCCTAGTGGCGAAGTGAGGGAACGATTAATGCGTGAATCTCACGAAACCACTTATACCATGCATCCTGGTAGTAATAAAATGTTCCAAGATCTAAAGAATACATATTGGTGGCCCACAATGAAGCGGAAAATTTCTGAATTCACTACGCGATGTCTGACATGTCAACAAGTCAAGGCTGAACACCAAGTGCCAAGTGGATTGTTTTATCCACCTACCATCCCTGAATGGAAGTGGGAACGAATTACATGACGTATTCCATGTATCGATGTTGAAAACCAGAACTGAACAAGATCCATGACGTATTCCATGTATCGATGTTGAAAAGATACCGTTCCGATCCATCGCATATCTTGACTGAGGGAATTGTAACTCTTGACGAACAATTGACTTATTAGGAGGAACCTGTACAAATTTTAGCACGAGAGGTCAAACAATTGAGAAACAAATCTGTACCCTTAGTCAAAGTACTATGGAGGAATCACTCGACTGAAGAGGCAACATGGGAAACGGAAGAGTCAATGAGAATGCAATATCCGAATCTCTTCAACCAATGACTCAGGTAATTTCGAGGACCAAATTGTTTTTAAGGGGGAGAGAAATGTAACGCCCCGAAAATAGGCCTATCATAATTAAATAATTGATAATTGATAATTACTGAGAAGGACCCAAAAATAAGTAAATCCTAAAGTTTGTCAATAATTAATAAAAATTATATCGTTGTGTAGAGTTTGACTATCTAACCCCAACGGTTCAATCAGATTTCAATTTGGAGAAAGTTGGACCAAAAAGTATACCCTGACTAGGACCAAATATTAGTCCCAATCAGGGACTACGTAACAAACGGCGCCCTGTTCAATTACGCCGATTCCAAAATCCCAATCACCGTGCAATCAAGGAAGGTGCAAACTCCCTGTCTTCTTCCTCCTTCACTTGGCTATTTAAGGAGAGCCAATTCCTCCATTTCTTCACCAAAACAACTCATTCTTCCTTCTACATTGTTCCTTGCTCAGAGTAGAGTGCAGTGGTGTTGTCATCTTTGTGTGAGGTCGCCGGAGCAGTAAGATAGAGTCGCCGGAAGTTTCACTGGAAAATCGTCAAAACCTCCCTTACGCTTCAAGGTAAGCCCGTAGATATATCTAAAGACTAGAATGTTCATGTAAGTTGTTTTTACATTCATAAATAGTCGTTTGGTTGAGTTTTGTGTTTGACATGTTTGAAGAACCAAGAATCATAAACCTTGAATTTGATGTTAAAAATATTTTTTAATGATTCTAAAATGATCTATGAACCTGAGAGAACATTTCTATATAATTTAATTGAAGTTTGCTGATTAAAAATGATAATACTTAGTATATAATCGATTATTTAAAATATAAAAATCGATTTAAAAAGTATTAATCGATTATTTTGAAACTAAAAATCGATTTTTAGCAATTAATTGATTATTTAAAATTTAAAAATCGATTTTTAGCATTTAATTGATTATTTAAAATATAAAAATCGATTTTTAGCAATTAATTGATTATTTAAAATATAAAAATCGATTTTTAGCATTTAATTGATTATTTAAAATATAAAAATCGACTTTTAGCAATTAATTGATTATTTAAAATATGAAAATCTATTTTTAGCTATTAATGGATTATTTTAAATATAAAAATCGATTTTTAGGTATTAATTGATTATTTTAAAAAAATAAAAATCAATTTTCCTCAAGTACAGATCCTGTTCTGAAAATATTATTGAAAATATGCTCTAAAATCCTATTTTGTTACCAATTAATTATAAACCATATAAATATGATTTTGTACAATAAAAATGATGTTTGTGACATATAAACATTATGTGATGCATGACGGTGAGTTCGGGTGTTAACACTCGAGACTAGGCCGCTATTTGTTATTATGCATTATGACGATTGTTTGATTATTGATTATAATGAATTAATGATGATGAACGTTTTGAATGATGATCATGAATTGTTAAAGTGAAAATAATGAATTAATGAATCGTATTGTTAAGGCTACTTGGAAGACCTCTAAGACAGACCTCTGATTAGAATAGGCCTTGCGGGTACAATATGTATATTCGGTGGCCTTGGGTAAAAACGTACGTACGGGACCCAGAAACCAAACTAGAGGAACTCGTTTGGGGATACCACCCAACCCGACAGTTAGTATTCTACTGTTCGGTTTTCTGGATTTGTACCTTAAGCGAAGGCTAGTTTAAGAGTTGGTAAATCAATCGGAATATATGTACCTTACACTAATGACCTAGCTTAAGAGTTGGATAGAAGTACCTTGAACTAGAATTAGTTTAAGAGTTTGTAAACATAAAAAAAATGGCCTTAGACTAAGCATAGTTTAAGGATATTGTGGAATATTGAATATTGAACATGAATGTTGAATATTGAGATATTGAAATAAAAATATTGAGAATATCATGAATGAATATTGAGATATTGAAATAAAAATATTGTGCATGATATCAAATGGTTGTTTGTGAATTGAGATTCAATTTATGTGGATGTTCGACGCTTTAGATATGCTTACTCAGCTTCATCGCTGAGCGTGTAGTATGTTTTATTTGCTACACGCAGGTAGACAAAATGAATGATTGGCATGATCCTGGCAGCGGATGGGGTGAGACTGTCGTGGTGGAATTTGTGATTTTAAAATAAATAATTGTGTTGTTATTAAACATGGTTTAAATTGCTTCCGCGTTATTGTTAAATACTCCGTATTTTGCTACAGTTATGTATTAAATAATATTTATGATGAATAAAAGTATTTGAAATGTTTTAAATTTTACGATTACCAAGCTAATACTTTAGTCCGGAAGGGGCTGCAGACCTGGACGGATTAGGGCGTTATACTTGGTTTGGATAATGAAGATGCCATCTTCATGTTGCTTGATTTGAAGTCGCAGGAAGAAATTTAATTCACCCATCATGCTCATTTCAAATTTGCTTGTCATAATCCTTGAAAATTTGTTGCCTAAGACTTCATTAGTTGATCCAAAAATGATATCATCTACGTAGATTTCCACAATGATTAGATCTTTTCCTTTTGTTTTAACAAAAAGTGTGGAATCAATTTTTTCTTTTGCAAATCCGTGTGAGATTAGATGTTCGGTAAGCCACTCATACCAAGCTCTAGGAGCTTGTTTGAGTCCATAAAGAGCCTTATGATGTTTAAAAACATGATTTGGAAAATCGGGATTTTCAAAACCGGTGGATTGTTCATTGTAAACTTCTTCTTTTAACAATCCATTTAGAAAAGCACTTTTAACATCCATTTGAAACAGTTTGAGGTTAAGAGCACTTGCAAAAGCTAATAACATCCTAATTGATTCAAGCCTAGCAACCGAAGCAAAAGTTTCATCGTAGTCAAGTCCTTCAACTTGGCTATAGCCTTTAGCAACAAGTCGACTTTTATTGGTGACAATAACACCATTTTCATCAAGCTTGTTTCTGAAAACCCATTTGGTTCCCACAACAGGTCATTTTATTGGTCTTTTGACTAATTCCCAAACCTTGTTGCGTTCGAATTGCTCTAGCTCTAGTTGCATGGAAATAATCCAATCACTATCCATTAATGCATCTTCTACGTTCTTAGAATCAAATTGACTAAGGAACAGATAATATGCACAAAGATTGTAATTGTTCATAGTTCTAACTCCCTTTTCAATATCTCCGATGATATTGTCTCTTGGATGATTCTTTAAATGCTTGTATGCTTTTGGAAGTTCATTTTTTTCCCTTTCTTCTTCTTGAACTGGAGTTTCTAAGATTTCTTCTTCCACTTATTCTTCATTTGAACCTGCAATTACCTTACTCAACCCAAAGGGATCGGTTTCATCAAATTTCACATGCATGGATTCTTCTACTTTATGAATTGATTTATTATATACCCTATACGCTCTACTATTTGTTGAATAACCAAGAAATATTCCTTCATTTGATTTATGCTCAAATTTACATAAATGATCCTTAGTATTCAAAATATAGAAATTACACCCAAAAACTTTGAAATAGGCAATGTTTGGTTTTCTACCTTTCCAAAGTTTGTAAGGAGTCTTTTTAATAATAGGTCTAAGTAAGACCTGGTTAAGAACGTAGCTGCTGTGTTGACCGCTTCTCCCTAAAAAAATTGAGGTAAGTTATGTTCATTCAACATGGTCCTTGACATTTCATGCAAAGTCCTATTCTTCCTCTCAAGGACTCCATTTTGTTGAGGTGTTCTAGGAGCCGAAAAGTTGTGAGAGATACCGTGTTCATTGTTGGAACACACTTTGTACGATAAACTAAAGTCGTGTTCATTTCTGACAGGTTTTGATAATTGCTAAACCGCCGTGGATATGAAGAGTTTCGTTGAATAACTCAAGGCGTGAAGAATGGCTTGGAACAAGACAAAAAAGACTCAAGGACAAGATCAAGAATTGAAGACTTAGTCGAGTCGGTCTTTTGTGATCAAAACCGATAATAAATTCAAGTCTCGGTTCTCAAAGAGTCAAAACAATTTTTACAAATCATAAAATATTTTGTGTGCATCAAAATAAATATTTCTGATGATTTTTTATTGATTAAAAATCCCTGGTCCTTGCTCGGAACCTAAACCACCTAAGTCGGCGTTCGGCTTTCGGCGTTCGGTTTTTGGCGCCCGAACCAACTCCGTGGTTTTCAATATTTTAAACCCTGTTTTTACCTCTGAGCATTTTTAAAATGTTCCCAAATAATTATTTTATAAAAACCACTTTTGTATCTTGGTCAATCGGTCTAACACGTGAAAAACGGTCAAAACCGTACGCACGTGATGTACGACCTTGGAGACTTGGTTTTTACCGAACAAGTCTTGTTTTCACTATTTTATGCCATATACAATGTTTTTCAAACTTGGTTTTTACTTTTGGGAACACTTCATTTTTGGACCTCGGTTTTTCAAAATGGGTTTCAGCTGGCTAGACTTTAGCTCGGTGATAATCGATTATCACCTTAGTGACAATCGACTATCAGCCCCTGCAGCTTTGAACTTCAAAAGTTCTAAAGCACGCAATAATCGATTATCACCTATGCAATAATCGATTATCAGTCTTTGCAACCAAAACCCAGAATCTTCTGAGAGGACCAATAATCGATTATCACTTGTTGACAATCGATTATCTGGGTTACTGTTGTCCTCCAACGGATAGAATTTTAAATTTTTGGGCAAGGAATCTTTTGATAATCGATTATCAAGCTTGGATAATCGACTATCAGCCTCTGTCTCTGAAAAATTTGTCTTCATCCTGTTGGAAACTCTAGCAACGGGTTTATCCCATTTTGGGCTATAAAATGGCACCCAAATCCTCTCATTTTACACACAATTCTTCAACATTTCAATACTCTTTCATTGCATAAGCATTCCTATTTTTTCTTAGCTATTTGAGAGCCAATTCTTGAAGAAGTTGTCGTGTTCTTGAGCGTTTACTAGTTCACTCATATCTACTCTTTGTGAGAGTTTTATTCCTGAGTGTTTAAGTGTTTCTGTACACTTTAAGGGAGGTTTTTCCCTTGTTGTAAACTCGAAGGAAGTCTTTCGTTCCTTCGTGAGAAGTCTTGGAGTGCGGTATCTCCAAGTAGAGGCGTTGAGGCTCGTGTGACTCGAGTTCTCAAGTTGTATCGGTTTGTTGAGCACCTTTAAGCTTAACGAAGTTAGTGTAACTCGAGAGAGTCTCTCAAAAGGCTGGATTAGCCACACGTTGTGGTGAACCAGGATAAAATTCGGTGTGCTCCTTCCTTACGCTCTTTACTTTATAACTCTCGTTTTAATTTCCTGCGATTTTGTTTTAAACGCTATTCACCCTCCTCTAGCGTTGGGCCTTTATTCTAACAATTGGTATCGGATCCATACTCTCTGAAAGACTTAATCGTTTGAGAGAAACGATCAATGGCTTCTACTCAAAAATTTTTCGCAGGAATAGGTGAAGGTCATTCTACCACGAGGCCACCGTTATTTGATGGAACAAATTATACATATTGGAAAGAGCGGATGAGGATTTTTATTCAATCCAACAACTTTCTGTTAGAATAGGTGCCCTTCACTAGAGGGGGGGGGGTGAATAGTGAGGCACGAGAATGTTTATAAATTTTCGCAGAATAAAAATCGCAGGGATAAAGTAAAGAACGGAATAAAAAGGAGTAAAGGGAGCACACCAAGATTTATACTGGTTCACCACAAAGTGTGGCTAGTCTAGTCTCCCGAGAGACTCTCTCGAGCTACACTACTTCCGTTAAGCTTACGGGTGCTTAACAAACCGTTACAACTTGAGAACTCGAGTCCCACGAGCCTCAATACACTTTCTCGGAGATACCGCACTCCAAGACTTCAACCCGAAGGAATATGCCCTTCCTTCGTACAACCAAGGGAACAAACCTCCCTTAAAGTGTTCACAACACTTAACCACTCAAGAACAAAAACTCTCTTAAAGAGTAGAATATGAGTAAACTAATTTAGATCAAGAACACACTCAATTCCTCAAGAAATGGCTCTAAAAA